AAAGTTGCATTGCCTACTCGCAGTCCTATAATTACTCGATCAGTATCACGAGCAATGGCTACTCATCCTGATAGTCCTGGAGATGAACAAGGGGAAAAGTTTGCTATGGAACAGAAAATTGAAAGGTTGGAAGCTTTAGTCATGCAACTTCTATCTAATCAGCAAGGGAATCTTACTATGGCTCAGTTTGGACCTTCTACTGGAAATACGTCCACAATTGCCCATGCTCCTGGTAAAGAACCTGTGGTTATCAATGTTCCTATGGCTGATACCCATGCATTTGACGATACCAATATCCCACCCAACTCTGGGATTCCTGTCAATGTTGGTGCCACTTTGGAAAATCCTCCACTTGCAATACCTTTGAGCTTTAATCAAGGAGGGACAGTGGGTCAAACTCAACTAAAAGAGGAATCTAGTGACAGTGAAGAACTCCCTCTAAAGATGAAACTTAAGATGCAATTGCTAGAAGAGCGTCTAAAAGCTGTTGAGCAAGTTGATAGTTTCGGTTCAGTGGATTTTGACTCTTTTTGCTTGTTTCCTGATATTGTAATCCCACCAAAGTTTAAAATCCCTGAATTTGACAAGTATGATGGAACTGGATGTCCAAAAGCTCATTTGAGTAAATATTGTAACAAAATGGCTGCTTATGGAAAGAATGAACAATTGTTGATCCATTTCTTCCAAGAAAGTCTCACCGGACCTGCTGAGCTCTGGTATTCCACTCTTGATCGTAAACACTTGAAATCCTGGTCAGAACTTTCTTTTGCATTTTGGAAACATTATAAGTTCAATTATGCTTTATCCACCACTCGTGAAGACCTCCAAAGGATGGAGAAGAAAGCCTCTAAGACCTTTAAAGAATATGCTCAACGTTGGCACATTAAGGCTGCTCAAGTGCAACCTCCAATGACTGAATCTGAGCTCAGCAATCTATTTGTCAAATCAATGAGAGGACCGTATCTTGATAAAATGCTTACTCATTCCTCTGATGATTTTGCAAAGCTAGTTCACATTGGAGAAAATATTGAAGATGCTATAAAGTCAGGGAAGATCCCAGATGCTAACTTATGGCAAGCTCTGATGGAAAATAACCAAGGGAATGGTCGTAAGTTTAACCAGTTCAACCAGTTCAAGAAAGACAAAAAGGAGGGTGAGGTCCAAGCAATCATGCATACATCTAACCAACCATATACCTCAAATCCTTACTCACACACTGCTAAAGGATACTCCCGTACTTCTTATTCAGTCCGACCATCAACTTACCAACCTTATCCACCTGCACCTTATCAGCAATACTCTCCACAACCTCATCTATACTAAGCCTATCCACCAAGTCCCATATATGCCACCTACCCAGCTAATCCTCCCAAGCCATATCCAAATAGGCCAAATACTTTCGATAGGAGATTTCGAAAGATTGATCCTATTCCTCTCTCTTACCTGGATGTATACAACCAATTGACAGCCGTAGGGATTGTGACACCAATACCTCCTCCTAAAGTCCAAGACCCCCTCCCAAAAGGATTCAACCCAGAAGTTCAATGCATCTATCACAGTGGTGGTGTTGGCCATGATATTGAAAATTGTTGGAGTTTTAAACACCTTATTCAGAATTTGCTAGAAGAGAAGAAGATTGCATTTGAGACCTCTGATAAGGCCAGTCCTAGCATTACCAGCAACCCACTCCCAGAGCATGCCAACCCTGGTGGAAGCTGAAACAACATTTGAGGAGCTCATATGGCAAGAATTGAGTTCAAACCTCAAGGATTCTTGAAGTAATGACCTATGTCAGTTATCTCTGCTTTTCAGTTATTAGTAGTATAAGTAACTTGAATCCACCATTGATTCTGCCCAAGATCATGGTTAAAGTAAAATAATGGGCACATCCTTGTTAAAATTTCATATTTTATGACTTGCTTGATATGTTAGTACTCTCATCTCAAAGGTTAATATATTACTTTCTCATCTTTTCATAATTCCATAAATTCTTTGCTTCTTGATGGATTAAATCTTTTCTTTCTAAGGATATGTTGATGATATCTAAATTCAAGGTCTAAGATCTGGGCAATGATGCAAAAACAAAAAAAGTGAGAAAAGCCACAAAGGAGTTCAAAGGTGGAAAGGTTCAATGAAGAAAGGCCATGTTTCTTTTCCCAAACACAAATATCATCCCTAGCTACCCACTTTGAGCCAAAATAAAAGGCAAAGATCATGAATAAAAGCCAAATGATCATTTCTTTGATACCCACATCATGAACCCGGGGAGTGTTGAGTGCAAAGTGAGGGGTATGCTATCTTAAGTTAAGTGATTGTCATCACTCAAGTATGCTAAAAGTTCAAAATCTAAGGATAAAAGGCCATCTTTGATTACCTTAACTCCCAAACACTTAAACTTAAGGAGACTTATCTTTAGTCAACCAATATGAGCCTAAAAATTGCCAACCTTTTCTTGGATACCCATTCTAAAACCTGGGAATTTAGTTACATGCCTGGAGCAATTTCTTTAAAAAAAAAAAAAAAAAAAAGAGAAAAAGAGTTCAAAA